TTAATGGAGTTCAAGTGAAAGACTTAAGAATGAGTTAGCTACTACAGTATTTGAATTATGAAGTGAAAGGTATGCCTGCCTCATTTTATTTGGAGAAATCACAAAGAGTTAACTCATCAGTTTAGGCCTCGAGAAGTCTGTGGTCTGATGGAGAGACAAACGTGACAAATGTGACAATACAATGTGAGATGCCTGTACAGAGAAGCACCTGCACCGTAGGAAAGCTATACAAAGGAGGAAGTAATGGGGGGAGGAGGAGGTGACATTTGAGCTTGGTTTTGAAAGATGAAAGGGAATGTGCCACCAAATGCACTGTACATACGTTTGATGTATTTGGAATCTGAATAACTCTTTAGAATAAGTTTTATTGAAAATTTGAGAACCATTAGCCTAGGTAAAAAATACAGGGCTAAACTTCCAAACTTAAAGCAATAAGGGGAGACAAGGGGAACAGCAAAAACACCAATTTAGAAGTCTAAATTTGGTAAGGTGTTATTGATTCCATGGCACAGATGAGGAAGAGGACAACTGCAGCATTTGGCTGTAAACATTCAGTGGATGGCAAAGCTGCTAAATAAAATGGGCAACGACCAGGAAGCACAGGTTGACAGCACGTAAGGCAAGTATGAGACAAGTTGAGTTTAGGAGCCTGTGGATAAGTGTCTGCCACTCCACTAAATGATAAATTTCAAAACACTTTTTTTCACCATTATCTATCTTGCCTCTGGCACAGTGACAGTTGCACAACAATTTATTGAATGAACACACTGGGATCAAGAAGTCAGAAGCTAGCGTTACCTATGGGAATGAACAAAAAAAAAAAGGCAAAAGACTGAAAAGAAGTGGAATATTTCCCTTCACCTTTCCCACCAAATTCAAATATCTACTACATAGCTTTTTAATTTAGGCTTTATAACTTCTTCAATTACATGGATTCAAAGAAATGTTCGTACCAGTATATAATTCAAAGATGATATATAAGCAAGTAATAAAACGAGGGGTTACTTACTTTGTCTGTGAAGCTGTAGTTAACTTGTCTAGAATGGCATCTGGAAGGAGTTTTCTTTTCTTAGATAAAGACATTTTAAAAATCAAAAAGGGAGGCACATGACAGTATACCCTGGGTTGCTTCTGCAGTTACCGACGTTAAAGACAGCCCTACATCTAGGCAAATAAATGAATTAGACTGAACACTGCCCCCACTATTTATAAGCTGTGAGAAGATTGGGGCCACGAAACTCAGAACCTATTGCACATCTTTGGAAGACTTGAAGATTGGAAAGGGTGCCCACCATATTCCAACCCTCAGGTCACTGTCATACATTGAAAGCGGTTCAGTCACGTCCATCTGGAGTCGGTTCTCTGTGGCCAATCTTCCAAATGTGAGCCAGCAAAGCAATCATACTCGATGTTTGTGGAACCCTTAGTTTATACAGCACCTCAGTTAATTCTCACAGCAACCCAATTTCAGATAAAGAAACCACCTCCGCGAGGCTTACTGACTAAAGGGTCATGACGAGCTGAGCGTCCGAGGCGAGATTAACCCTATGATTTCAAATTCACGACTCTTCCCACTCTCATTCTCCATCGATGGACAGCAAAGAGAACGAGCATCTTTGTTTTCACGGTTGTCAGAAGAAACACTGGCGTCTTTTCCCCCACCCCCATATCCTACCAGCTTTGGCATCAACCACGGGAATTCTACCCCGCGCCGGTTGTTCTGAAAAGGAGACGCCTCCTACCCTCTAACCTTTTGTTCGATAAACAGCTCCTCGCGTCGCTTCCTCTTCTCCTTCAGGAGCGTTTTATCCCTGGGACAAAGGGTGACAAGTCAGTGCAGGGAGGGACAAACGGGACAGCAGGGGCAGTTGTCCCGGCCGGCCGCGGGCTCCGAACCTGCGCACCGTCTCCCGCACTCGCCGCTCCTCTTCTCTCGCTTCCGCCCGGGCGCTGGCGAAAGTCAGCTCCTCGGGGGCCTCGTCGTCTTCAAACTCATCGTCCCCTTCCTCGTCGTCCTCCAGCGGCTCGGCGGCCGCGCCGCTGCTGGGCTGCCCGAGCAACAGCCCGTGCTCCGCCTCCTCCTCCGAGGCGGGCTGGCCCTCGTCCACCATCGCCGACGCCGACGCCGGGGCGCGGGACACGCGCTGCCGGAGCTGTACCATGACCCAAGCAACGCCAGACCGTCTGACCTCTGACCCGGAAGCGGCACGCAAGCGGAGCGTGACATGAAGAGCAAGCGACGCGGGTTTCATCGCCCCCTACAGGTTCGGAGGCCCCAGTGAGCTACCCGGATGCAAGAGACGGCCCCAGGACGAGCAGAGGCGCATGCGCAGAGCGGGGAAGGGCGTGGCCTAAGGAAAGCTAGGGGTGGTTCCTTGCACCCGGCTCGGAGGCAGTGCGCCGGAGGCGTCGTGCGTTCTCCCCTGCAAGGGCTGTGGCTGCTGGAGTGGGTGCAGAGCGGGTCTGTTTCCAGGCAGGGAGGATACATCCTGCTGCCTCCTCGGCGGGGATGCTGACAGCAGCGCTGGCTGGGTATCCGCGCTCCTCGAGGTGACCGCAAGCCCCGGTCCCTCTATCGCTGCGTTTTTTAGCAGCGGGATCCCCTTGGTCGATCCAGTTAATCACTATTTGTAGATTCGGCTGCCTGCACTCCGCACTGCCCGGAGAAGTGCACTTTCAAAGGGAAGAAATGCGCTATAGGGGCAGGACCCCGATGCGTTTCAGTCCTGTTGTCACCGACGAGAAGCAAGGTCTTAAATCCATCCTCAGCACCAAAGGTGTGCCTGGCGACCTCGGCCGCCCTTTGTCAGGCTTCCCTCACCGCTAGCCCCTCGGCCACTCCTGTCCATGCCTCTGTTCCGTGTTCATCACTGACACCACTTCCTAACTGTATTGTCTGACTCCCCCCATTAGAAAGTAAACTCCGAGAGTAGGGACCTCTCTGGTTCCCTGCTCTAACCCCAGGACCTTGAACAGGGGCTGGCCCATCGCAAATCCTGAATCTGGTGAAAGAAGGACTTCACCCTTACTTAGTCAATGCAACCCTAGTACCTTTGTATTTATTTCCCCCCCGCAAGTCTATTTCATTTCTTGGCATACATGGCCCTTCATGATCTCTGTGTTTATCTTCTCCCACCCATTATACAATACTAAATGAGTCATCATTTTCTGAACCAAGCTATTGCACACTCGCCACGCATGTGTACATGCTGTTCCCTCCACTCATACACACTCCCCCACGTGGAACTCCTTTTTATACTTCAAAACCTCCCACTCAGGCTGACTTCCTCTTAAAGCCTTTCAAGCACCGTATCATCTACCATCACCTACCCCATCCCTACTCTACTTATCTCTAAGTGCATTCTCCCCAGAATCTTGCACAAACTTCTATTACTGTACTTTCCATATAACAGTTTACATGACAGTTGTCCCAAGCATTCTGTGAACTTCTTGAGGGTAAGGTCCATGTCTTACTAATCATTTTATTTCTAACGTCTATCATATGGTAGGTGTTCAGTAAATATTAAATTGAACTGAATAATTCTACCTCATAAATTTTGTATTTTCAATTCTCTTTTCATCTCCTCTAGTTTAGAAGCAATTCCTAATTTAAAAACAACAAAACCAAAACATGAACAAAAATGACAAAACAGAAACAAAAAGTGATGCTGGTACCAAGGGCCTGGTACGAGAAGGGCTGCAAAGAACAATTCTGAACTATCTGGGCCTTGGTCAGACAGAAATTACACATGAAAAATAGAATCAGACTGAGACAGGGTGCTGACTTCCATCATTGCTAACACTAGAAAAATGTGTAAAGTTAACTCTGAGAAGCCCAATGACAAATCTATTAAAAGTGAATGATGGTATTTTATATACAAAAACTGCATTATAAATATTACAGGACCCCTCAGTGCACATACTTTGACCCAGCCATGTAAAGTATGAACGGAGCCCTAAGTGCCTGCTGGCCCTTCAGACTCCTCTAGGTTAGGAACGTCCCTCTTGCCCATGTAGAGGACCTCTGGGATTTATTAAAAGGTATGACTTGAAAATGCAGGACGAAGTTTTATCTGCCAGTGTCTTGTCATCTATTTCTACAAAAGCCAAAGGTGTAACATTAAATGCAATCTTATAAGGGGCTGAGGTGATGTGGCCCGGGAGCGTGATCACCCAGGGAGCCCACCTGATCCAAGGGGGCTATGCGTGACCTTCCTACCCTGTTTACTAAACGCCACGTCTCCCAGTCAGGGCTCTGCTGCCTGCCGGACATCCGGCATTGCAAGGGCCCTGCGTGCTGCATTATGTGATAGGACTTGAGGAGAGAGCTGTATTCCTACTACTTTACCCCAAGGTAGGATGAGCATAATTTTTTAAAGTCCCATGGGAAAATCTCCCTTCAGAATTCAGTGTCTGGGAAAGCTTGGCAGACCCCGCAGGGACTGTATGCTTCTGTGTTGATGATATTGAGAAATAGTCCACCGTCACCTCTCCCTTTCCTCCTTGGCTGCTGGGAAGGCCAGTGCTAAGGTGCAGGCAGCTGGGTTTATCCTTGGTGTCCATATATTGGCATCATTCTTTTTTCTCATCTTGATTTTCCACCTCATTGCTACTTTTCTCTTCCTTTCTTGCATGAGTTAAGGCACTGTACTTTGAGTTAAGGCAGCGACACAAGGTAAACGCTGAAAAGAAAAAGCCCCCAACAAAGACATCTCTTGGGGTAACTTATTTATTTATTTATTTATTTATTTATTTATTTGCTGAGAAAGATCAGCCCTGTGCTAACATCTGCCAATCCTCCTCTTTTTGCTGAGGAAGACTGGCCCTGGGCTAACGTCCATGCCCATCTTCCTCCACTTTATACGGGACACCGCCACAGCATGGCTTGATGAGTGGTGCGTCGGTCCGTGCCTGGGATCTGAACTGGCAAACCCCCGCCAAAGCGGAGTATGTGAACTTAACCACTATGCCACCAGGCCGGCCCCGGGGTAATGTCTTTATACAATAGAGAGTGATTTTATTTTCCACCAAAACTTGTGCAAAAGTCAGAAATACCAGGGTTTTATCCCTCTACTTCTATCTTTAACCAAAGAGCAAAAATACAATCAGAATAATTACATTTTTTAGACAATCTAATTACAAATTTTTTCCCTCCCAATAACTAACCAATCACATCAGAGGTAGCTTATGTTTAGGTTCAAACCAAATAACAGGCATTAACTTTCTAGTTCTCTGGCTTCTCCTAAATACATTTGCTATGGTCACTTCTAAGCCCCCATCACTTATCAACAGGTTGGATTCCAGCCAGGGAATCAGAGGATATTTTTCGATCTCTCCATATTCAGCTCACCATCCACAAGCCTGTTTCTCCTCTGTTTGTGGCCTAGTACTTAGGCATGCTATAATTTCTTCCTTCCCCAGGACAATTAAGAAATAGTTTCCGTTTCATGAGGAGCAAGGGCTTCAGGAAGAGTCGTGCCACAGGGCCCCTGGAAATGAAACCTGAAATACAAGGACAAACACAGCAGAGTTATGAGCAAAACGAATGTACTACTTCAGCAAGTCACACATTTCTCAGTTACATCCAGAGCAAAATCCAAATTCTCACAAATATGATATTATGAATTTTTGTGCCCACTCCTTTCGCCTAGTTTCTGACAACTCATGATGTAGACGCCTCACTATGGGTTGGCCCCTGTGACTAAGGGAATTCTGCAAAGCAACTGCCTAGAATTTATGTGCTATAAATAAGAATTATATTTTAAGGGGTAGGAGGAGACATGATTGTCAAGTGTATTTTGTGATTGTATTGCCAAACTCATAACTGAAATTGTTAAGTTTTACAAAATCTATATACTATAGTAAAATAGCATTCACATGTAGTAAGGACAAAAGAACAATAACCCTATGCACCATGTAGACCATGGGATTCAGCTGAGTCAACAGGCTTCTCAAACCGTCTATTGGACTTCATAACTATTTCTGACCTCCACTTCCAGTCAGAAAATAGAAACAAGAGAAAGAGGAGGAAGAAAAAAGAAGAAAAATCAATAACTTCTGCTTCCTTCAAAGGAAAACACTTAAGACAGGAAAAAAAACCCAACTCTGAATAAGAAATAAAAGCAGGATTTTCTAGTGTTTTATTAATAAGAAAACCAATTGAGCACAATTTAAAATGGAAAAAGAATTAGCTCAATGTAATTCATCATACGTATGATTTATTCTTGATACAACACAAATCGTGAATGTCTTAGCCCTCAGAGACTCTGTTCTCTCGACAGAGTGCCACTAATGGACATTCCTGAGCAAATGGCAGCCCACTCCTGCCACCGCAGCAGGGTGAACACTGGCCCACAGAGAGCGCCTCACAAGCACAGTGGTCATGGTCCGTTGAGGATGTTCTGAGAATTACAGCCAGGCATGGAGAGCTTTTAGGGAATTTCCACATCCTCAACTTCCGTAGGTTCTCTCTCCTAAGAAAGTGACTTGCAAGTGCCCCTTTCCACATTCACCCTTCTCGCACTTTACAAAAGCAAGCTATAGCCCTCACTCATCCCAAGTCTTACAGTGGTGCCTTATCCCAGAATGTGAAATCAAATGAACGGATGACTGAAATATTGGTGTAGATGTGAGGGAAAAAAATGGTTTCTACGCACTGGGTAACACATCCTCATAAGCAGGGCCATTTCATGCTTGCTTTCAATAAAACCCAAAGAGGATCTGATAGAATTGTCAATTAACAGATCACTAAATGTGACACAAAATTCCTATGTGTATTTTACCATACTGCTGGGCAGGAGGTCCAAAATCTGAGCGGCAATGCCATAACAAAATTCCTTTCCTGCCCCAGGTTTATGTGGCCCAGGTTTCTCAGTACTCTTATCTATAAAAAGCAAAACTAAAAATTACAATCCACATTGAAAAGGTGAAATTCAGCTTGGCCAGCAAAAATCTGCCCAGCCATCCCTCATACTGGAATAAGAGAATAAGATAAAGCCAGCTGTAAAGTTAATAGCAAACAATATTTTTTCCCAGGACAAGCTGCAAAGTATCATAACAACTTCCTTCTTTGACTGACTACTGCTTTTTTTACTCACTGAGGAATCTCGTCCTCTAAAATTATCAACTATCAGAAACTCCGCTGTTTGATGTTATAGCAGTGAAGAATGAAACAGCCCCTTGTGCCTGGAGGATCTAAGTCACTTTGCCACCGAGAAGCAGTCTTGATTTCCAACCCAGGTGCAGAGCTTCAGATGAGGGGTATCTGGGCAACGTTCCACATCTGCCTTCACTTTGTGGTTTCCAAGGAAAGAGGACCCCACGTCCACTTCGCCAGCCAGACCTGATCTGACTCCTTTCCACACTGTCCAGCTAGTTACTGAGTTTATGAAAAACTGCTTTGTTTAAATTTCACCTAAACTCTACCCTCCCTCCAAATCCTACAATAACTCCATCTTTTCCTTTGTTTGGGGACACGCCCCATGGCTCCACTGAGGTGGAGTCTCCCTCACTGCAATGAGTCAGGAAAGCTGATCTCAGACTTAGGTTTGCTTCTGGTGAGTGTAGGTGGATTGGGCTACAACACCTTGATCTCTGTCTCCTTCTAACAATCCTCAGCCATGGATACACGAACGAATTCAAAAACTTCATGTCTCGTGCATCTATTAAAAGATGCATTTCCAATAAAATTTTACTTTTATGGAATTATTAATCAAAATTTATCATTTATTTGTTGTTTGCAACAACTACGTACTATCAATTACTGTAGTGATAATTCAATCTAGAAGAATTTTTTAATAGAACATTATTTTAAGTTTTAAGGAAATTGAAAATAATGAAATAATTCATAGGATACTTTGTTACAGAAGTATAAAAGAGTCATCAACAAAAGATTTTCAAGGGCCAGCCCCGTGGCTTGGTGGTTAAGTGCTCGCGCTCTGATGCTGGTGGCCCGGGTTCGGATCCCGGGCGCGCACCGAGGCACCACTTCTCCGTCCATCCTGAGGCCGAGTCCCACATACAGCAACTAGAAGGATGTGCAGCTATGACATACAACTATCTACTGGGGCTTTGGGGGGAAAAAATAAATAAATAAAGTCTTTAAAAAAAAAAAAAAAAGATTTTCAAGCATAAAAATATATTACATTAGTACAAATTTCTGTGGTGAAAGTAGAATGAAAATAAAAGGTCAAAGAGAAAAAGAAAAAATGTGAAGTTTCCAATTGTTAAAAAGGAGCTTGTATATTTATTTTGTAAATGGGTGATGGCAGGTATCAAGTGGTTGTGACATTCAGATGTGACTGGATACATTTCAAACCATGATAATGGGAGTATTATTTTAAAATGTCAGTATTTTATTTCCAATACACTTGGAATCACAAGTGTACTTTAATTTTAATTAAAAATTTTAGACAAGTTAAAAAATGTTAAAGGGGTCCATGAACAAAACTGTTTGAAGACCCCTGTTCCAGCACCCCTGTGCAGGCTGCCCCACCTCCCCAGTTGCAGGATAACCAAGACTACCATGTTTATTCCAGAATATGTTCACGCCACCTTTATTGGTTAATGTAATTATCTAATTTAATTTAAAATTATGTAATAAACTCAAAAATATACCTGTGAAAAGAGGATTATTTCTAGGAAAATTAGTTGAATGCTTTGGAAATACATATCAAGTCACTAAAAATAATTCTGTTAAATTCAGTGTAGGTGGAAAAGACTGGGGGGGAGATTGCTCCAACCAGTGTCTTTTCGTATATCCTTTCTCCACTTAGGAAAAAAAACAAAACAGAAAAATATCAAACTAGAAGTTGTAACCCAGTGTTTTCCAAGATTTCCTGATGATAAGAATCACCTGGGTCACTTGTTAAATATGTAAATTGAAAACTGTAAACAGTCCTCTTGCCCTGGAAATGCTGATTCAGAAGTCTAGACTGGGGCCTTGGGATCTGATTTTTTAGTTGACTGTTTTGTTTTATAAAAGAAGGGCTGGGGTGATTCTCATCATCATGGAACTTGGGGAACACCAGCAGGATTGTGAGTACGATTTATGCAAGAAAGGTGAGCTCCGAGAGCAGATTCCTACTCAAAGAAAAGGCCTTTAGCTCTATCAGGAAAAAAAAAAGCAAATGAATGCATATTTATGCTTTAAATGAAAATAAAATATTTAAGGCATATATGTGTCCTTTTTTATTATTCTTATTTATTATTTGTTTTTTATTCTTACTTTAAATGACTTTTTTGATTAACAGACCACTAGGGGCTGGAATGTCTGGACTAAAGGACCCCTACTACCTACCCTGGATAATCCAGCCAGGTAGGGCACTGGACTTCCCTCCAAATGTGCTCAAAGACAAATGAAAAGAAGTAACCTCTTTAGGCTCTTGATGAGTAAATACACAACTAGAGCAATCTATAAAACCATTTTCCAGCTAAGAATTCCTTAGACTTCTAAATTCTGCAGGCACTTCCCTCCACCCCCCTCACCAGCCGCACACATTACTTCCTTACCTTACTGACCCCCTTTTGTGGGGCTCTCCTCCTCCCTCCCTCCTTCCACTCCAGCCACTCTAACCTCCTTGCTGTCCCTCAAACCTCCCAGGTGAGCTTCCCCCTTGGGCCTTTGCTCCAGGTGGTCCCAGTGTCTGGAAAGCTCTCAGCCCAGAAAATCTCTTTAGCTAACTCCTTCACCTCCTTCAAGTCTGCTCAAATCTCATCTCAGTGAGGCTTGCCCTAACTACCCAATTGAATTCTGCAACCTGTCTGCTTCCCCCCGGCTCTACCTTTGCTTCTTCCCAGAGCCTTATCACCCACCTTCTCACAAGCTAGGGAAGTTGCACAGTTATTATGCTTATTGTTTACTGTTTGCCTGCACCACTAGAATGTCATCTTCACATGGCAGATTTTCTGTTTTGTTTACTGATATATCCTATCCTAAGCAACCAGAACAGTGTCTAATACATAGTAGATACTTAATAAATATCTGTGGACTTCAATTAAATTCCAAAGTTTAGAGAAATTCAACAATGAACAACATGGTGGTCGCAGGGCATGGCGGGCCAGGGTGCTTGGAAGGCCCTGCACACCAGCCTCACAGGGAACACAAATCCCATTCCTGCCTCAGCAAATGTACAGACCCTACATGCCAAGGACCCCTGGGGTTGAGTAACAGTCAAAACCTTGAAGCCGAAACCCAAAAATGCCTAATGTCTGCTCTAACAGTGATGGTCTATCAGAAAGCATCCAAGACAACCATCGGGGATGGGGGAAAATGACAAAAACAAAACAGGAGCTAATTAACACCTTGAAAATATTAATACATTTCAGCAGGAGGCAAATTCTATGACTCTGTCTCTAAATTAGAATTGGGGCAAAGAATCTAAACAACTTGTACAAGGTCTAAGGAGTCTTATGAGATCCAAGTTTCAAATGTAGGCAGCATTTCTGCTACCTATTTAGGTAATAAAGAAAATCAGGTTAAAAGTAGCAGCAAATGTTATTCC